TGTATCCGATAGTTGTTAAGATGGTGCTAGAGAAAAAAATCAATGGATCACCAAAGTCAGTATTCCTCCTTTGGGGGCCATGAACCTCTGTAGAACATTTCATGTCAGTCCATCTGATAGACATTTTAGTCTGGACCAAAGTGGCGGACAGACCGACCAATATTGCCATCCATCCATCCATCCATCCATCCATTTTCGTCACCTGTGAAAGAAACTACTTATGTAGCTTTGATCATTTATCAGGTTTCTGATGCCAGAATATGAAGTACAATCACACTGTGGACACATAGGGGTTAACTCCCCTCCTCTCGTTTCAGTACCGATCCGTTCCCATTCTCCCAGCTGTTTGTTTACATATTGAGATACATCTGTACAAACGGCAGTGGGCAAGATTTATGGTGCAGAGGTGTCAGATAAGTGATGTAGGGACAGTAAAAAAAACACGAGAAATGAAATGTTTTTGAGATGCTTAGCCAACCGAGAAAATGGATCAATGAGATTGCACGCAATTGATTCAAAATCAGTGTGACTGTGAGTGATGAGCAAGACGAGTAAACAAACAGATAAGATTGAAGAGGACAGCAAATCAATTTACGATGACATGGAGAAAATCAAACACAGCAAGGATTAAATTTTGGTGTCCATGCTTGACTGTGCATGTTTACATTTGATGCAACAATTTCTAAACCGTGAACACAACCCTGCGCTAACTTGTTGCTAGACTCACAGGCTGATATAGTTTAATCTCTTATGTCCTAGTGGCAGAAAAACCATTATGCTGTGGCTGCGTTTACAAGTGCAGACATTTGTTATGTGGTCATTTTGGCAGGCAATACACACAAATCAGCTTTACAACTATTAATAAGCAGCTCTGGCCCATTTGCCATGCTGTCTGTGTTCCTGCATTGACACACAGCAGTGTGATATACAGTTTGCTCTTGCCAGCCATGAGGGCAGTTGATGAACTTGGCATTAAACCAGAGGACAGCCATTTCTCTTCTCTGACTGGATGGACAAGTGCTGGAAGATGTATATCTCTCCAGGCTCCATTGATGGACTGTTGCAGAATCAACAGGGATAAGCTGTCAGTATTCCACTTTCCGCTGGGCCATAATAAGACAGAGAGCCGGCCATTTGAAAAAGACAACATAACAGAATCACCTTAGGAGGTGGCGGTGAAACTAGGGCGGGGAATAAGGGAGCAGCCAACCAGCTATTCATCATTAGTCTGGAGAACGGCCAGTTTGTGACACTGTCAACTATTTTCTTCTTTGCCTGACCACTTCTACCTCTCCTACTCTCCTCCTTTTATATGGAGGCAGCAGCGACACAAGAAGCAGCAATAACCAGGCATTCCTGAAATTCCCTCTTTATTAAACTTTAATTAGGGAATTACCAAGTGGGGGGAAGAACTGTTGAGATTTGGTGGAAAGAGGGCAAAACCAGAGCTCCAAGGTCATCAGCACTCGTGATAAGACCCTGATCATTGTGAGATATATGCTATTCTGCCATTTCACTGTTCACCAGCTGAACATAAACATGGGAATCTCTCATAGGAAAAGATCAAATGGGATACTACAGAGGCTGGATCCAATTTCAGAGCAATAAGATAGCTGAGATATCTTTGTTTATGGAGATGAAATATGCATTATCCAATGATGAACCTGCCATGGAAACAATCAAAAGGTCTTATCCAGATGCAACAGATGCTGCCACATTGAATCTATATGAGTTCCACTACATATGGGTTGAGATACAAAGCTAGCTGTTGCTGTATATCATATCTGTCACACAGACATGCTTTCCCTACAGGCTGCAAGAGTTAATCTATACTGCCAGTGTTATCACTGAGGCCCCGGCTTATTTTTAGCAGCTTTCATTACACTTTTCTATCCTGTAGCCAGATTGGATGGGTTGAGATTTGTCAGGAGAATCACGAGATGTTCTCCCTTCAAACCCCAGTGCAGAGCACCGACTGACAGCTTGCTATGGCAGGAGACATCTAAATTGTCTCATTATGGACCTGGGTTATGACAGCCTGAGCCACCCGGAGAGGTGCAGCAGATGAGTTGTGTGAGCCGAGGTACAATTACTTTACCATCTTGCATTGCAGTGTGTGTACATAGCGACTGAGTGTGACTCCATACATGTGTTTGCAGCAGCTGTTAAACTAGCCCATCGCTCAAACATCATCTGCTGTTGGCTGTTGTGCAGCACTCCTGCAGTTACTGCAGGTATCACTTTGAGACATTTAAGGTGTCAGTATGCTTTAACCGAAATGCTTGTCTAATGGCCGAGTGAGATTTCAGAGTCTGGACCCCCTCCCCCACACCTTTCCAACGATGGAGCTGGGGGGGAACCTGACAATTTATGTAACTTTCCAAAACTTGTTGACTTGATTTTAACTTCTCTCTCAAACTCTTTTTTTAAATTTTCACCCATTTCTTTCCGGCACTTCTTTGTGCTGACAACGCTAAGAATGTCTTCAAGCAGATTCTTACCAAAGTGTGCACCGTTAGCCCCACTAGTTTGTTTCGAGTATACTTACACATAAAAAAAAAGTGAAAACTGCTGCCTTGTACTTGTGTGTGTTCTGCATCTAAAACAGTTTTTCAGGGGCTAAAGGAAGCAGCCTCCCCCCTCAAAATCTACTCAACAGAGAGTGTATTAACATTCAACCCCCTGGATTTGAAAGAAATGAGCTGAATGCCTTCAAAATGTGTCAACGTCCCTCATTCACTGTGTATCAGGAACAATAACAAAAGGATAATGCGCAGATTAGTGCTCCTAGGGGCAAAGATGGGCTTTAGATGCAGAAATATGCAACACAGACTTTCCCTGCTGCAAATGAATTAGCCCACTGTTCACCCACAAATATAGTGTGTAATGTGCTTGCGGAAGAAGATTAGTGTGGAAATGGAACTTGAGACGTCTGGCATTTCAGGGATATACATTGAAAACATTCAACAAGCTGTCTAGCTCAGTGGTGCAATTCACCATTATTTAAACCTGAAGGCTACAGAACCTTCTATATTTCCTCCTTTTATATGGAAAGTTGTTCTTTTAAAAATGTCTTCAATATGCCACAGCTGAAGGTCAACAATTATGAAAGGCTGCTGAGAGACTTTGCCCTCCTGCTGATGGAGCTGAATTCTGCTCTTGAAGAAAGATGTCCTCCATTGAAACAAATTGATCTTGGCTATTAGAGAAGACTGAGGTTTTAGAGACAGTTTTTAACATTTCAGTCAGACGACATCCTTGGGGGCACAGCTGTGTCGCGTTCATATAACGGTAAGAGTGGTATTGCCACTCTGCCTCAACTAAATACACTAACTGATGAAAAGAATCTAAAAGACGCAGAAACCTTGCATCATCTTGACTTTTGTAAGCTGCTCAACTGTTGTCCTCAATATACTTGCTGCTTTTCCAAACCTCTGCAGTTGACTGGGTGACTTATCCTAAGCTGTGTCCTCACCCAAGCCGTCGTAAACCTGAGGAAGGTCATTCTCTTGGGAATTCTAAAAATGGTGCCAGTGTCTCTGAGGAGAGGAGACAGGAATGTTATGACCCCATGTGAGTGATGTCAATCAGCTTTTTGACAGGAAATACCCAATGGGGATTTGGAGTTTCTTTTGAGAAACCTGGTTGGTTTGACTCTGAAGAAGCCTTAGAAAAGCAGAATGGATCAAAGACCATAATATTAATGCACTGTTACCGGTCACTCGACATGTGAAATCAGTTGTAATGTATCTTCTGTGGCTTTGGAGAGAGCTTTCTAACGTTTGAAAAAACAACCCTAACCCGGCTGGGTCATGGAGACTTAATATACCTATCAAAAAGCTTACATTACAAACTAGAGGTGTGGCGTTTGGAAGAAGTGGTTATAGGAGGCAGGGGGGGTCTAATGAAATGTGATATTGAGTTGCATAATAAGAAATGTAGGATACAGTGTTTTTGGAGTTTGAGCCATATAGACTACAAGTCAGAATGTCTTGGCCTCTGCTGCTTTATTTTTTATATCTGTTTCTTGGGAGTCCTCCAGACCTCATGGAAGTAAACTACTAAATCACTGGAGTATTCCTTTAATCACACCCACACAGGTCCATTTGAGTAATATATTATATTTCTAATGAAGGTTTATGTACATTTAATTGTTCATTAAAATTAAAAATGCATCATATAATGACTCGTCAGTGAGTTATTGAACCACGGTGCCATGTCCACATAAAAAGTCCTGCTCTGCTCTTACTCAAATTTTACTGGACTAAATAACTGGCTGCAGTGTGAAAGATCATCCATGTTAAATATCCCATTATAAGCAAATATATTACTTCAAAACATTCTGAGAAAATGTCCAAGAGGAGGTCCTTCAGTTTGCAATAGGCTGAAAGGTCATAGAGACACTTGAGGTGGACCAAACCATTTGGAAAAGAGGGGCTTAAGGGGATCAGGCCACACTTATTGAGCGATGACTGAGAACATCTGGAATCACTCTGAAACACACATGTACTCTCACACACCCGAGACATTCACACACATTCTCTGGGAGACACACCGTTATTAAACTCATCTCTAATCTTGGATCAAACACTGAGACAGGATGCACCTCCACAAGGTCTGGTGCTGTGCGATGTTTGTAATCTTGGAGGCAAGTGACAGAGACATAAGACACAAGGGTTTGGGTTTCTCACTTTAGCCAGGGCTCGGACTATCTGCTGTGCTTTGGTTCCACCACACTGAATTGATGAACTATAATGCTGGGTGGGCTTAAAGAGGCCCACACACACGCTCTCACACACTCTTATCTATACATGTCTCTTGTTTCCTCATCCATTACCAGTGTGATCCCTCTTTGGATCTTGCTACACATTTTCCGTAGGCACTGATGGACTCATAATCAAAATGTGATACTCTTGGTGAGAAGAGGCTGTGAAATACCATTTACTGGAGAAGTCATTTTTGGGGATCTAATTGGTCTCTCCTCTATCTGTGTCCTCTAGGTCCCATGGCCTCCACAGAACATGGCAGAGAGCTGGAAGAGGCGGCTACAGTGAGAAAAATGGTCCAGCAAAACCCTGCGAGGGGCGGTCAGACCCACAGACCAGCCGGCTGGAAGAGGAGACGCCCACGGCCACGTCTTTCCCACAAGGGGCCCATGCCGTTCTAAAGCAAGGTGAGTTTCTAGCAGTTAGGGGTGAAAAGATGCTCGTTAGAGTTTGTTTGGCAAAGCTTACCATCAACCCAGTAATAAAACAGTCAGTGTCACGCAATAAAAGTCGTCTTCTCTCCGTGGATTCTCATGAAAAAGTATGTGCCTGTCTTTCCTGCGGCAGACCAACTTTCTGACCAACTTTCTGTCAAGTCAGAGCTACGTGTTTCTCGAGAGAATATGAGCAAAAGCACTTCCCGATATATTGAATCATAACTGCTGACTATTGAGGAAACACAGTATCATAGAGGAATTTCTAAGAGGAATGTGATGTTGAGTAAAATACTTTGTTGGCAGAATCAGTTTGGATGTTTTTAATGATGAATGGGAAACTCAAACTCTTAGAGGAGTACTGGAAACCCTGTTAATGTCCACCACAGCCAGGCTCAACTCCAACACACGGATGTTATTGTTGGCACTGAAAAAAACAGATTTTTGGACCTTAGCCTACCAGCTTACACGCCTTCGTAGTATGACAGAAGTTGTTTTTAAGGCTACGTCATTTATTTCCTCATATGGGAGACAGTTATACTTAGAAACCTAACCTTTGAGTCAGTTCAGCTTGCATACATCTTTTCTCTCCATCTGATAAAACCAATTAAAACCCTTTTCCCAAAAATAATACACTGTAGAGTTGGGTTTCCTAACAGCACAACTTTTCTCGTGAAGGAATGTTTGACTTTCTCTCAAGTAAAACAAGGCTTTGTGTGAAAACTCTTTTATCCAAAATCAGAGATAATATTTTACTTATCACCTTTTCGCAGTTTGATTTTCTACTCTGAACCAAAACAAGCTCTCTGTATTTCAATAAAAACAGATCAAGCGTCATTGGGAAACTAAAACATACAACAGCTAATTAAACAACCTGATCGAATTTACAGTATATACAGATTAAAACTCTCTTAGCACTTCTCTGTGAATGGGAGGCAACAGCAGTGCAATTATGTTCCTGCATTAAGAAGCGCTAAACCCATTCACATGTCTCTCACAGACGCTGTAAGAGACAGGGAAACTCAACGAGACACAATATCACTGCAGGAGGTGCCAAGCATACAACACTGACCTGCAGAGGGTCGCCATAAATTAAAGCCATAGCGAGAGGCGGTTGCAGCCAGAGAGTGTCAAGCCACGGTTAATCAGTTTTAAGGAAAAGGGATCAAAGCTATAGAAGTTTGGAAACTTTTTTTCTCTAAAGCAGCCGGAAAGGTTTTACAATCTATGGCGAATTATCGATCATTATTGTTTTTTTGTATTTTCAAAAGCGTTAGACTTCTTTTGAACTTACTCCTGCTTTCAATACAGGACTCTAGATGCTCAGCACAAAGGTGAAAACAATGAGTAAAAGAACAAGCCAGGGCTGTCTGCACTTGAAGGACAACATGGGTCCTCCAACTTTTCTCGGTCTGCCAGTAAAATGTGAGAATCCTCTCTGTGAGTTGAGTGGTCAGAGCTTGTGTTCAGTGCCAGAATGCTGGCCACACAATACGGGGAACTTCAGGAAGTTGTGAAGCTCTGTAAAAGTGAACGGCTCAGTGAGTCACAATGCTGTCTCTGCAAACACCACTTAAACCACAACACGCTGAAGATTTCCTTGTTTTTGTTCCCTTCCCACTCCGTCTCCTTTCATTATTGCTAAGTTCATAGTTCATCTCATTCAGGGTTTTCTTTGCATACCATGCCAAGTTACCCCAACCTGCCTGACCTCAGTGGGAATCTGGCTTTCCATTAGTGATAATGCTACCAACATTCACTGAGTAAATGATCCAAAGAATTAAAAGTCTGAACTTCTTCGCAGTTCAATCCCAGTTTGTTCCTCTTGCCTCAGCACATGATATACTCTGACTGTGGAAGAATTAAGTCTTCACAAGACTCGATATCTAGCACCAATCCATCCTACAGGCTTCTAATAGCCTTGAAAGTCTCTGTTCTTCCTCGCGTGTCCTGCTTTCTTCTTCAGTTTGAACTGATGATGGGAAAAACACCTTTGGAAGCAGCTGGAGATGTCTTTTGTTTGATCAAAGCCAGAGTTCAATGGAGACATCCAGCTGAGGACTGGTTAGAGCTGTAGGAAGCCAGACTGTATGTGGATATGTCATTACTGGCCTAAACTTAATTACTGCGCTGTTAAAGTAGAGATTAAGAGCAATGATCGACTTGACAGTGTCCATCCACCAACTCTGTGCTATTTAGCAACATCTCCTCATTTGAGTGTCAAAAGCAGCTCATCTTTTATGTCCTTAGACACCTGAGGCTAAGTCTGACTTTTCATCATTACACATTCCAGATGTGAGCAACTCTGGGAAGAAAGATGGCGACCCAGGTCATCCTCTTTGAGCATCTGAGTAGACTCAGATCCGAAAGTGCTATTACAACTCTTGGATCTAAGCCATGCCAGTGACAGTCTAAAAGACGACAGGATATTACAGATTTAAAGCCTCAGGCAATTTATGAAAACCCCTTGAGAGCCTGAGTGTGAGTAAGCTCACTGAATGAGCCTTCCAAAGGGGTTTTTTTTTCATCAAAACAATGTAGAGCAGGTCTGCAACTCCTCCCATACACTCACTCTGTGATGTAGTATGACTTCAAGGGGCTGCTGTACTGAGATCATCCTGTGGCCCCAAAAGCACAAAGGACAACAACAATACAACTCAGTGGAGATTAGATATACCGTACAGCAGTTCTCAGGGCATTACATGACCACAGAATTATGCCATCTTGAAACAAGAGCAGGCTCTTATCAGTGAATGTAGCTTGTTGTCATGCAACAAAGCTGACTTCACTACTCATCTGAAATCTTGGGAAGTTATCACAGAACAGGACAAGATAAAAGGTGAGGGAAGATAAAAGATTTCCTCATTGTTAAGGAGCGCTCCAGTGCCCCGAGCATAGTATAATGTTGGGCTTGTGTTCTACAGTGAGATACACAATTGTTTTCTTACTCCCTGACGCACCTTTCTATCAAAAACCATAAAATCTGGTTGGAACATGTCCGGGATAACATTTTATTCACTGTTTTCTAGTGGTTCAAGTGCAACATAACATATAATATAACCCAGTGAAAATTCTAGAAGAAATTCCCTGAGGCGCATCTTTGGAGAGGAAATTGAATTGTCTGCAGGATTCATGAAATGATTTTTGGGAAACAAAAAAACAACACACTGATGGCACGTTATTTTCTTGTTTTGCAGGCACTGCTTTGAGCGCCCTCCCCCAGGTTCTGATTTCTATGCTCTTCCTTTGCCTTGGGGGGCCTTGCAACGAAGGGCCTACGCTTGCCCAGCCTGAAGAGTGATGTCCATAGCACCTGCTGGTTCTTCAAGCAACTCTGTCCACAAAAAATCAGGACAAGCCGCTCACCCTCAGCTCTAGGGGGCAGGGAAGGGGGGTGGGGGGTATGGAGCCCGAGCTATCAGACTCTGTTTCTCTGTCTTTCTCTTTCTCTTACTCCCTATCTATCTCTGTCTTCTCCCAAGTGTTTTTTTTTTTTTTTTTTAATTTTCCTATAATTTGCTTAATAGAGCCCAAACATAGCGATCTCCCTGAGTGTCTCACACACTTTGCATGACATGTGGTGGAGAGGGAGCCCGGTCAAAACAATCTGAGTCTTAAAGCATCTGTCACTTCTCCACAGTGTGGTATTCCCATCTCTCAGATCCAAGGTTACTGCAGCCGCTGACTTCATTGCTGTGTAGCTACTTAACAGCTTTGCTAGCGGGAGAGGGTGCTGATTATGCAGAAGGGCAGTGTCAGTTTTAATAGTTGACAATAGCAAATATCAATTTCACTTATGATACTATGGATGTCTGCCACGAAAAGGAATTCCAGATTTCATGTTTATAATGGAAGAGCAAGAGCGTCACATGTGGCTGACATTATAATCATCGCTTAATTATCATTATTACTGGTGCTTTGTACCTCCTAATGACAGTACGTCCACATGTAGAGTTGGACTGAAAAGAGAGCACATATTGTCAAAACAATCTATTTAAGTGATAGAATAATTCCTTCATTTAGGAGATTCTTAATCCAAAGCTATTTTGGTGTTTCTGAACTCATTAACACCTTGGGGGGCTGGTGGTGGGGGGGTTACTGACACGCTCAAGGTTACTGTAACATGTCCCACCTTGGATGAGTCCTTTGACCCCAAATCCCAATCCCAATCCCGTCCCCAATCCCCAGCCTTCACACCACACTGCTGCCCTGCGCAGCTGCTCTACACGACTGTTAACTGGCAGGGGCGGTCTGCTCCACCGACAGGCTGCCTTGCCTTTTAATGAAGTGCCAAATAATAACCTTCTCCACAATGCTGCCAGGAACGAAGGAATGAAGGGTTAGGGAGAAACACATTACCTCTTGTTTGAAGTCTTGATACACTGACACATTATGCATTTAAAATTTCTGCAAACAGAAATCCCATGTGAGACAATGTTAGCGAGGACAACAGTTAAATTAGTCCAAAAAAGAAAAAAGAAAAAAAAGAAACAGTAAATAGGTAAATATTAGCTCAGTTAATATGCCACCATGATCAGCCTACCACTAGTGCTCTGGCTGTTTTAATATTCAGCATAAGGCTGGTTTGACCCTTTGACCGATATCTTTCATTAACGAAATGCTATGCCTTTCCATCATACTGGAATATATTACTGTTTCTGTTTATTTCTGTGTTTAAGTAGTTTTATTTCTTTTTTCTCAGGGTGCTGTGATAGAGGCTTGTACTAGAGCAGTCTATTTTGTGCATTTATTTAACAAAACACAAACATTCAGTACATTTAAAGCATATATGAGCATATTTTCGTATACTGTATCTTTACTCTCCCTCTATGTATTCACCAATATAGCCATGTATCCAGATATCCAGATTTCTATTCATGATCCTTTCCCTACATTATGTTGGGTACAGTTGCCTTTCTAGTATGCCCCTCCACAGCACAGGTGGTCGTGGCTTTGATCATTACGCTCATTAAATCCTAGAGTTAATCTTTCTCAGATGGATCTCCCCAAGGCTGGCCGGGGCCACTTAGTCTGAGCTCATTGTTAAATTGGCTTAGACTGAAACCACACCCTTCCCCCTTTCCAATCCTCAAACCCCTGCTGATTCAGTATGTAACCATGTAACATATTAGGACTGTAACCTGTAGAACAGCCACCTTGCAATTGTTTGTTGTGTATTAGGTGTGCGGAGCAACTTCCTAGTTGTTGTTGTTTTTTTCATTCGGATTTTAGGTTAAAATCTGATTTCAATCCACTGCGATTCAATCAGCAAACGCTCCTATTTCAAGTCAGTTTTGACCACAACAACTGGCAGGTTAACCTAGATTTCCAACACCTTTTCCCTCTCGCCATGTCTCATGCAAATATTATAATAAAATCTCTGAGTCTTCTCAGTCCCAGCATGAGAAGCTTTTATTAAGAGAGCATCTAAAATCACAGTGGTAATCCACCCAGCCAAGATCACCTTGATTAAAAATGTATTAAATCCTAGGGCACTGTGAAGAGTAATAATTTCAGTTCCACCATTATTTTTTCATACCCTCTCAGACAGAGATGTAGATTTCATTAATGCTCCTTGGGAGTGAGACAGCTTTGCTCAGGATGTCTCATGTATTATTGGGGAAGATAGTAGGAAGATATGAGCTGGGGATGGAAGTTCAAAGCCGCAGGAGTTGGGATGCTGGAAGTAGACTGGGTCATGACAAGGGGTTCAAATCAATATTTCCCCATCTCAGAAGTTATTGTTACGGAGCCGAGCAACGTCTGTATCCGCACTGTTCTTCATGAATGTATCCTCACCATCTGCACCAGCCATGCTGCCCTTTCAGAGACCAGAGCAAACCAATGTTTATGTAAAGCACTCTTTTTAATCTTGGTCTGGTTATCAGTTGAATCCAAAAATCAAAAGCCAAATATCCCACTGATCCAAAGCCTCCGGTGTCAACTAGTCCCAACAAATAGACGTGGCTTTGCTCCAAGACTTCTCTGTATGGGTTCGCAAGGCTGCACTTTTGCAATTCCATTATGCTGCTGGAAAAATACACCCTGAAAACAAGAGTCTCTTGGTATGGAATGGTTTTCCAGTGTATTGTGACAATTTTTTTGTCTGATTCTTGTCTAGCTGGTTGTCCAAAGCTTACTTTTTGAATACAGTGTGAAAAGCTGTATCTTTTGTGGATGTAACAAAATAGAAAAGTAGTCTGCAGCACAATATGTCGTGGACACGTGAAAGCTTTCAGGCGTTCTTTTCTTGTAGATGATAGCCCACAGTCCTCCCCTGCACATCAGGTTAATGGGCCTTGTGGTGTGGAAGGACAAGCACGTCCAGGCTCAAACTGAAATGGTAAACCAATACATTATGCTCGGGGAGCAAAACCATTTTCCTTAATGGTCTTTTCCAGCAAGGCTTACACAAGAGAAACGATTCCTATCCTCTCAATGTTTCCTCTCCAGTTCCTCTTCTCTGTGACCATCACAAGGCCTGAGTAATGTTCCTATGCACTTGTTAGCATGTTTTCCTGGTAGAAAAATGTTTGTTCTGAGAACTTGCCCCTTTGTGTTTAGTTCTTTTTGTCAAAATGCATTTGGCTGGGGGTGTGTAAGAAGTCGGGATGAGCAGAGTGACTTGAGAGATTTGTGTTACTGGTGGAGGTGAGAATAAGCTAGCAGCAGGTTTGAAAATATTAGCTTAGCCATTGATCTCTGTTTCCCAATAGCTATAGACACAACCCCCATACAAAATATTACATAAAAACACAAGGTTTTTATGTTGTTGTTTTTATATCCTATTACCATTCTATACTCAGTTCTCTACCAGATAAAATTCCTTTAAAATGACACTGAACCAAACATGTCACTCATTGTGGAAATGGAAACAGAGTTGGCACGCAACACATTCCATGATTTTACTTTCTGAATCTCTAAGCCCATCAAACTGTATCATGTTGGCCTTCAGAGTGGGTGTCTGCAAGATCAAGTGGCTGATATTCAATCCAATGCATTCACACATTTCCACAGGCTGGGCAATCCAAAGGATAACTAGATTTTATCTCCCATGGGAAATGACTAAGATCTGTCATTATCTTGGAGCCTCAAAATGAGACTTCCTACACCCAGAATAGCACAGGCCCCTCCTGCCTTGATTGCGACACATTCTCCATCTATGTAACCACTGTGTCCAAGATCAGCTACATTCAGAACAATCTGAGGAGAGATGCAGTCTGTAGGTTTACATGCCATCGCAACAGTGTTACTAGGTCTCAAGCAGATACCATTTAAAAGACAATGTATTACTCCTGAAACTTATATTCTGTTTATGGTGTGTGCTCATATTACTCACCAGGCCAAATGTACAGTCCCTGTCTCTGTTTTGATGTTGAACTGGGCAAAAATAAATGACATAAATAAATAAATAAAACAAGTGTATCAGAAATGGTTGAAATACTGTGTACATATTTGAACTTTTGGTTTCTAATTTATAAAAGATAAGCTTTAGCTCTTGGAGTACTTATTTTATTTTTTCCTTTCATGCGTAGCTTTGTGTTTTTATTTTCTATTTCTGTAAAGTGTGTAAATATATCTTTATGATAATAAGTAATATTAAAAATCTTATTTTAAGAAAACACTGTGTAATGTCTTTTTTGGCAAATGAACAAGTTTATATTTAAGTGAGAGCACTGTACTTAGGAAAAGCAGTGCTTTGAGTTAAATGCTAATGTCAATGACAATGCTAACATGCTGATTTTTTGCAGGTAATGTCTATCATGGTCACTAACTCAGTTGAGTATGTTAACATTCTAATATTTGCTAATTAGCACTAAAAACAAAGTCCACTGACCTGGTGACGGTGCTCGATAGAAAATCAAGAGATCAGCAGCAAGTTCTTACAATTCATCCTGAGAACAAAATTCCATCTGACATTTCACTCAAAACCACAAACATGTGGACATCATGGTGGTGCTAGAGGAAACGTGAGGGGATCACCAAAATCCGACTGCTTCATCCTCTGGGGAACACAAACGTCGGTACAACATTTCACATCAATCCATCTGATAGTTTAGAGATTTCAGTATCGACTAAATCAACCATCAAAACGAGATTACCTTCCCTAAAGCCACAAAAGTTTATTTTATACGGTAGCTACAGCCGTCATTATCAAGATACTGAACAACAGATAGAAATTAAATGCACAGTATAACTAACAGAGCGTAATGTAAAGTTGACATACAGAGAAAATGAACTTGGTAGAAACATTTGTCACCTTCTCTATTCAGTCAGTGAGTGACACAACCTAGTAACATCAACAAGTCGACTCACAATTGTACAATTCAAATGGGATGCTCTAATCAGAAAAAATCAGCCTCCTCATTACTCAACAGCTCGGCTAATGAGGATTTATTTACTTCTCATTTGAGTTCAAGTCAGCACAGTTGTTTGTGTATTTTACCTTTGTGTACCTGAACCTGGTCTGAAACTCTATAAAAGATGAACAAAAACAACAGCAACATGTTTACCCGACTGCCATGGCCATTAACCTTTACTGTCAGTTGAATCTTTTGTAGAAAATCATTCTCTGCAGTATGCACATGCCTTTGGAAATGTAAATCAACTCCTCATCCATTAAGGAACACTTCAAAAGTGACAGGTAGCCTTTCCAGAGCTTATAGTGCATACTAAGCATGCTGCACATTAATGCATCACAGCTGCTGAGCATGCATGGAGACGATGGATATGTCTAGATGCACTGAGATTCAGTGTGCACACTCTACATGTCTTATCTATGTACAATGAAGGCTCCTCCAGTCCTTACAGCTGGATAATCATAACAGTAAGAGTAAAGACATTTAGTACATTACATTTGGGAATTTTACTGCTGAAATAAACCTTTCTAAAGATCTCTAATTTCTCTCTTTCCTCTCTAATAAAATCTCATTTGATTAATAATTTTTGATTGGATATGTGAAGATTCCTGTGTTTACTTTTAGCAATTTTACATCTGCACTTAATATTTACGGAAACATTTTACAAAAGTTATATTTAAGATTATATGTATGACAATATCACCATTGCTACTTTCTTATTATATTTATTTTGACCTAAGAAATGTGATCACATCACTCCTGTTTTAGCCTCTTTACACCGGCCCCCAGTATGTAAGAGTTTACTGATTACTATTAAGGCTCTTCTTGGTCTTTCCCCATGCTATATCTGAGACCTTTTAATACCATACAGCTCGTACTTTGAGAGCCTCTGGCAAAGGTCTTTTGTATGTTCCAGAGGCCCGGCTGAAAACTAAATGGGACAGAGCATTTGCAGTCAGGGCCCCAAGGCTCTGGAACAATCTGCCCAAGGAAATCAGGTCAGCTGAGTCAGTGATCTCTTTTAAGCCCCTTCTTAAAACATACTTATACTGGAGAGCCTATCCTGATTTTACTTGAACTTTTTACTTTTATTTCCTAAATGTTTTTCTTGTTTTAAATTGATGATTTTATAACTTGTGTTCTGTTTGTTTTTAAAAGTGCTCTATAAATAAAGATTATTATTATTATTATTTATCTACAAGAGAGTCTCAGTGAGGCAATGTGTTGAAATGTACTGGGCCTTGCATGGGAGCCACTCTTCCTCCCAAACCCCCACTGGGACCACTCAGGGAAGTGTCTGGTTAACGCACAGAGCTGACATGTCATGATAGACAAGAGGTGCACCCCTGAGCCCCAGCAGGCCCCAAAAGACGCCCAAGGTTATATCATCAAGCCTGGGTCAGCTGTATAATTGGGCTTGGGGTCACCGGGAGGATATGGAGCGTGACAATGAGGCTATAGAGTTACAGTTTGTAGCTGGCCAGCGAGGGCCGCCGGTGGGGCATTATTGCGAGGCCAGACGTCCCTTTTAAGAGTTCAAGGTCCATCTGCGATAGCGGCTCCAGTCCTGTTCACTGTCACTGCAGGAATGTGTGTCACTGCCTGCCAGCCACCAGTACACTGCAGGGAAAGTAGGGGTGGGTGAAGGAGATGTTGGGTATACTGGATTTGTTGTTGTGATAATCAGAGACAGGGTTGCAGGTTAAGATTCTTTAAATTATTGACATCCCTTCAGTTAGAGAAACAGGAGTTTTTAATTCAGATCGGGAGTATATGGTGCTCCATGCCTTCACTTCAGTGTATGTGTATACTATGTGCACCACAGAAACAGGCCGTAAGAACATCTGGATTGCTCTTGGCACAGAATCCCAGAATCAACGTCTGCCACATTATAAAAACCTTTACTTACTTTACTTTTACTGCAGTTGGCTCTCCCACAATACCACCAACAAAGCCCACAGAACCGCTGACAAACCCACAATGATGGATATTACCCAGCTCACTGCTGTCAGTCAACCACCTGGACTCTATGGACTCAAATTACACAGAATGTGCACACTGTGATTGCAAATTAAGCACACATGTAACGAGCAGGTGTTGCAAAAGTTTTAATTACATTTTTATTATTTTTATCAATGTTATTCTTATTTAACAAGTAGATGATTCAAGGATTGTTTGAGCCAAGACTGTCTGGGATTTTTTTGGCAGGAGACCGTTCTTTCCAAACATTTTATATATTCAGTATTTTTTGCGTAGGGTTGCATCTAACAAACGATGATCATTTGGCATAGAGAGTGTCAGCAAACAGCTAAAAATACCACTCAAAGTGACATCTTAAAATATACTGTTTTGTCCAACTAATATAAAAAAATACTAAATTTACTTTTAATTTTGCCTCAAGTAAACTTTAGGTCAAGTAGGGCTGCACAATTAAACTAAATATTATGGAAAACCCAATTTGGGCAAGTGCAATATCCAAATCACAGAAGCTGGTGTAGAAATCTTCTTCTCCAGATGGAAGAAAACATGTTTGTTTGGTACAGACTCCAACAAACGTAAATTGTCGTAATCACAATATCTGTCAAATTATTCACAATTCACAATATATATTCACAATAGCTTTAGCTGCTGAGCTACTTTAGCCACAGGAAAGAATGTGCAGAGATCCAGATTAAGGTGATTAAAACACTGATGTAATGTGCTTACAGGTGTACTGAGGGATTCTGGCTAATATGTATCTACTAGCGTTTGCAGTTGGTCAGTTTTCAACTGCTATCTTGCAACAACACACAGGGCTGAAAAATGGTGAGCAACATCAACTAATGCTTGATAATTAATTGAGCAACAGACTCATCACTCTGTTGGTCAGAAATGGCAGAGTGGTGTTTGTGGATCTCTCTCTAGCAAACCAGCTTTATCGGAGCATTGAGCCTGCCCTTAATTTTATGGTGAACAATTGGGCACAGGGAGGTTGTCAAGACAGGATACTTTATGTATTAAGGGGTCATTGTCACAATGGCGTGTGTGTGTGAGAGAGAAAGTGCATGCCCAATTATGCAGCATCTACTCCTAAAGTGAACCCAAAAAACTCCTGGCTGCAAACAGAACCTGGAGCCAGGTAAGAGGCAGGAACAACAGTCTGTGTAATGCACCTCAGCTGTGTTAACACCAGCAGCTCTGCAGTGGCGACGGATCATTGGAGTGGTCATAAAAACAAAGCCAGCACAAACACAGGATGGTGGGGGTAGCTGGGAAAGAAATGTAAAACGGGGATGGAGGTGACATATAGAAAAATGAACTAGTAGCTGCATGAGTTTCCTCTCTACTGTATTTTTTTCTTTTTTTTACATCAGTTGGATAACATGACAATAGTGTCTAGTGAATTTGCACCTTTCGCTGAACTCAAGTCCCTTGTCAATGAGCCAAGACTTCCTTGAGGATTATTCTATACACTGTGCAGCTTAGCCACATTAGCTTTAGCTCAAAGGCCAGGAACAAAGTGAGTGCACCGGCCCATAGGCTAATATAATCAGGGTCATAACTTTCCCATCATTAGAGCGTTACACATTGATGATGGACGGACTTAGGATATAAAGTGTTAACTTCCTTAAGCTCTCCCTCAAGTGTCCTCTTTTGGTTAAGAGGACACTTCCTTTTCTATTACATAGAGAAATGTTGGCACCCATCTTAATCATGGTTACACAAGCATGAAGGTGTGTTGTCCACGTAGAGGTATGGGGACACCAGCTAAGTGAAATTTTTACAGTCATATATGAGGTGGTAAACAAGAACCCCTCTGGGAATGTGTGTGACATTGTAAAGCTGTGCATTCTGGTGTGCTCTAATGTTATAAAGAGCTTAAACTTTTTATTGAGCAATGACTCTACAGGAATGTTTTCTATTGTTTGGGTGCTTTTAACATTAAAACGTCCTCACGCCTTCCTACAAGTTATCTTTTTAACAAGATAGGACGTAAACGGCTTCAAACAAAAATCTAAACCGCCCAGTTGTCCTTGAGGTTTTCTTCGATAGCCCTATCTTTAACCACACTACATACACGTATATGTAGCGTGCCCAGAGCCAGGAAGTGAGTGTGCAGATCACACGGGTGTCACCCAAAGTGACATGTTTATCAGCTGTGTGCATGGCAAGGATTATCTGACAACACATCCTGAACTTTACAGAGATTGTTGATAAGATCCATTCAAGGTCACGTCAGGAAAGCCCACTCCTCTTCTCCCCTAGCTCAAAGCATTTAAAGA